GTACCAGTGAAACTTCGCCCCTTCAATCTGAGGCACCTTCAAACTTTTGCTCATCGCTGTCTGCGAAGCATTGCTGGTGTCAGGTGGCACCAACTTTTCCTCAACGAAGATGTGCTTAGGCGAGTACTAGTTAGTGATAACCAATGTAGTTCCCTAGAACAACAGATAGCAATGAATAGGTTGCGTTGGCTTGGACACATACCACATATGCCCCGTCACTGTTTACCGAGGAGGGCCTTGTTTTGCCTGTCAGATGTAACTTTGTGCAAGGCTCGAGGTGGGTAAAATTTGACTTGGCAGCAGGAAATAAGGTCATTGATGACCAACTTCGATGTCGTCGGTCCTTCTCATCTTCCATCTAGAGTCCACTTGACTCGCCTTGTGCTTGGTTCGTGACTTCACAGGACATGGCTCTCAGTGGACACCAGTGGCACATCTGCTGTCTTCCCCTAGTTGAACTGTCTGTGTAAAGTGTGTTTGGTGCTGAGATATCTGCGTGGTAATGGTTGATTATGACGTATAACAGTGAAAGCCCCAAAGAAGCTGTCTTACTGATGCCACCTTACCTTTGTACGATAGACAGTTGTTTGTGACCATATGTTATTGACAAAATGTAGGCGTCTTTATCCTGAATTTTTGCTTAAGACCTCATTATTCTTCGTTCCTTAGGCCATTGTGGTTGTACGGCAGCCATAATAATAATAATAATAATGTGTCAGCTGTACGTCGTAACGGCGCTTCGCTGCCGCGCAACCACCACCAGTCGCGCGCGGGCTGAGTATACCGCGAGGACGCCCACCCCTACGCTGATTCGAACCGGTGACTTTATGGTTGCAAAGCAAACGTGCAGACCACTCGGCCACCGGCCGACGGCAGCCTAGCATCAGCTTAAATGAGTGAAGTACTCCTGTTGTTGATGATGATGGTGGTGGTGGTGGAAACAATATGCTATCAGCTTAAGCCACTGAACCATGGGAGACGTCGGCTGTGCTACATAATTTGCAAGCTAACCAGGATATAGCACGACCTATTTTCCGCTGGCACGCAGATTACTACTAGCGATCATAGGTTCGATCCCCAGTAGGGTACCGTGAGAATGCGCACCACTGACGGGCCTTAGCCGGGCGAAACGCGCCTGGTGTTTTTCCGGACTAGGCTGTGCTATGTAGCTCTTGAGCTGCTGGGACGAAAACATCAAGCTTACATAATCCTCCTACTCATTCGTACCAATATGCTATCAGTCTGTCAGTGAAACGCTGGGTGTTAACGCTGTAATAAAACAGGTGTTACTGTGTGAGTCGGATGTCTGGTCGTTTCGCAGTCAGGTGTCAGCAGTACACCGGTACGCATTGCGGATGCTGAGTTGTTGCGCAACCACCAGCGGTCGTGCGTGGGCTAAGGTCCCCTATTCAGGCTCGAACCCACGACCTCAGGATTGCAAGACGCTTGTGATCCATAAGGCCACAGACCGGCATTCGCACTACAGACATTAAATGCTTGCGTGTGTTTGATCAGCGTTGCTTGCGGAGTAATGGCCACATCTAGGGGGAACACGGAATATGCGATACTGAGGTCCGCCAGTTGGCTTTTAACAAGATGCCTTATGATGCCTCGCTTGAGTGTATACCTAAACTTAACCACATATGTTGACTAACTCATGTCCTGTGTACAACCGTGAACCGATTTCCTCGCTGCTCGCTACATGACATCGCTGCGGTAAGTTGTACGAAACCGTGAGGTGGCATAGGGGCATGAAAAAATTGACTGAGAGACGTGCTTAGACTGGTGTGTAATGCTGTCTTGGTGGATGGTGTCTCGGCATGGTCAACAGCAATGGTTCAGTTGCTCATTTGTTCGCCGAGCTGGGAAATTTGTTTGCAAACGTTTCACCGCCATGCGAGGCGGCATCATCAGTGCGTCGAGATGTGGAGTGTAATCTCGCTGATTGAATTGTCGATCCGTGACCGGCGTGCAGGTGACTTTTTGAAAGTGACGGCTTCGATCTGTGTCCCGTGATCTCTACCAATTTCCGCGTGGCGGAAGTCGTCGCTCGGGTTGTTCCTATTCAAGCGGCGTCTCATAATTTCTCTAAGTTCTCTCCGTCGGAGGGATTGGTAAACTGGATCAATCTCGATATTCATGTTGATCGAGTCTTTCGTTGAGAACCATGCTTCCAGGAAACTCCCTTTCTCTTCTTGTTTCACCTCGTGCCAGGACTTCTGTTTTGGCCCAATCAAAGCTGTGTTCTTTTTCATCCACGTGTGCTGAGACTAGCGATGATGCATAGTGCCTTTTGCATGTTCTTTTGTGCTCTTGTAATCGTGTTGATAATTTTCTACCTGTTTGGCCAACATAGTCCTTTTCGTAATTTCTACCACTTAGTCTAAATACAGCATTACTTTGCTCATGAGGTTCCAGTTTTTCTTTCGGTTTCGACAGAGTTTTCCTCAATTTGGCAGTTGATTTGTGTGCTACGATGAGGTAATGTTTGAATAGTCTTACTGCCATTTCGGTTATATTCTCCCCGTCGTTGGTGTAGACTGTCTGTTTGCTTTGTTGTTGTTCAGACACAGCAATGGTTGTGGAATCTATCCCACATGTCGCTGTTGCACAGTCAGTGGCGTTCCCGTACTCAGTTTCTTGCACCTAGCTCTTACTTTTCGTTCCATCCTGATTAGTTTAGCACACTTTCTTTTACATTTTCTTTATATTCATTTTCCATTCAGTCTCATTTTCTTGCCACTGTTTTGTGTTATTTAGGTGACATGAGTCGTGACAACCGGATCACCGTTGTTTAACTATTAAATTTTCTGTTTCACTTGAGTTTAAACAACATTCACTGTAATTCAATGCAATCACCGAGCACACTGTCTATTTGGAAAGCACAATCAAATGTATCTTGCAAAATCTGGAACAAATGGGACAGGTTACAAAATTAGAACACAGCAAGATGAAACCAAAGGATTCGGTGATGCCGCGATTCTACGGCCTGCCAAAAGTGGAGGCCCCCTCCGCCGTATCATGTCATTAACTGGAGCTCCGAATTACAAAATTTCCAAGGAACTGGAAGCGATTGAAGCACCTGATAGTTGACTCGGAACATTCCATAAAATCTGCAGAACAATTCCTGGTTAAGCTCAGGGAAACAGTAATAGAAGAGGACGAAACCATGGTTTCCTTTGATGTAACAGCTTTGTTCACTTCAATCAACACCAATCTGGCGAAGCAAACGATGGCAACACTACTAGACGAACGCGGATCCTCCGACACGAATAATAAAATAGATGCCATCCACCTGATGGAGTTGTCGGATTTATGCCTCACGACACACTTCAGTTTCAACGGCCAAACTTACGAACAAATAACAGGCGCGCCAATGGGTTCACCGATATCCAGACTAATGGCCGAAGCGGTGATGCAAGCATTGGAAGAAACCGCACTCCCGATCGGGAAACCTAAACTCTGACTACACTACGTGGGCGATACCTTTGTCATCCTAAAGCGCTCGAAACTGGAAGAGACAAATCAGTTAATAAACAACACGTTTACTCGTATCCGTTTCACTAAAGAAGAGGTGAGTAATTGTCAGCTACCATGCCTGGATGTTTTAGTAAAAAGACATGCTACTGGATAACTGCAGACAACAGTTTATCGGAAAGCGACGCATACAGATCAAATCCTGAATTATCACAGCAATCATCCAACAGTCTACAAGCGCAGCTGCGTAACAACTCTATTTAAAAGAGCTCAGACACATTGCAGCACCCCGCAGCTGAGGAAAGCGGAGGAAGATCATCTGTTCGAAATGTTTACACGGAATGGGTATCCCAGGAATTTCATTCTACGTTGTTTAACATCAATAAAACGACCGACGCATGAACAAACATCAGAAACGGATAAAAGGACAATCATTCTACCATACATAAATGGTGTCTCTGAGATGGCGGCGAGACTGCTACTACCTTTCGGAATCAGAGTTGCTCACAAGCCGACAGAAACTATCCGAGACAAGCTCTTCAGTGGTAAGGACCGGCTTGGCAAAGAAGAAACAAGTGGTGTGATTTACAAAATGCACTGCAAAAATTGTAACAAATACTATGTGGGCCAGACAGGAAGAAAGCTCGACACTAGGCTACATGAGCATAGCCTAGCTATCCGCCGATATGACAAGAACTCCCTGATCTCGGTTCATCTGGACGCCGAGAATCATCCATTTGATTTGGACTATGTCAGGATCATAGGGAGGTCAAAAACTCGAAAAGCATGCGAGTTCATCGAGGCTTGGTACTCGGGGAAGAAGTCAGTCAACAGATACTTAGATCTAGATACTGCCTATCAATCACTGCGGATCAAACCAATACTCCGCTCCAGATCAACAGGACAAAGGAACGTCATTGAGGCGGACTCTAGCCAACAGTACGCAAGAGCTGACTACACGGTCAGCTCACGTGGACCAATCGACTCCTGACGTTCGAATCAAGTGATCAATAATCACTTGGATCTGTAAGTGGCCTACATAAATCGCACTGATGATGTCGTCTAGCCTGACGGTGAAACTGCAATCAAATCAGCCAGCTTGGAGAACACTCGCATCCCCTCACCTCCACTTGTCCCGACAATCTACAATGCATCTGAAGTCAACTATTTTTCAGTGACTCCGCCTGCGTGCGACCCTTAATCGTTTTGTTTCCCGGTGAATTGTCGGCTGGTGGCCGAGTAGTGGTCTGCACGCTTGGCTTCTATTCATAAGGTCACCGGTTAGAATCAGCCTAGGGGTGGGCGTCATCGCGGTATACTTAGCCCGCACGCGACTAATGGTAGTCGCACGGCGGCGAAGCGCCGTTACGGTGTACAGCTGACACATTATTCTTTATTTATTGTTATTCCCGCTGAATTATTGTGTAATGTGCACTGTTTAACTCAAGCTCGTACATTTTTGTTCACCTTTCCACTATTGATTGCATTTGTTCATGTCTTCTGCGTATTTGCTTTTCTTACCAGCTGTGCTCATCAGTTTCTTTTCTGGACAATTCATAATAATGCCAGCTGAGACCTTACTCCCGCAGTTTGACCTGCTTACTTTACATGAGAATGAAACGGGCTGGGGTCCTGTCGATATTCCGAAAGAATTCGAAGGGGTGCCTTACCAGCCTTTTTCAAAGGATACACGCCTTGGAAGGGTACTGTTCAATTTCAACCTCTAAGCATTTTTAGGTTGCTGATTGGTCCGGCAACGTTTACCAAGACATGAAGTCCAAAGGTAACATTACATATATAACTGAAGTGCTTCATTTTAGGTCGCTACATGTCGCAGTTTTCCGGCTCTCAATACGCTTACGTGCATGACGAGGATGACAGTAATTTCCAGTTGGTAACCTCTGGTCGTGATCTGAAATCTACCAATTTACGTCAGCGTTATCGATTTCCAATGGTTAGTCTTTAGACTTCACCCTTTCTCTCTCGGTGTTTCATTTAGTCGCTCAGTTCATACTTGACTCTTTTCCTCCATGGGCACCTGCTGTGTTTAGTGTTATCTTGTTCATTCGCTAGCATTATTCAGTGGTTGTACTGTTCCGACGTAAGGTACCACCGCCAGCGTTTCCGGTGTCGCAACGTTACGGTCCGTCGCAATTGGTGTGTAGAATTGAGAGAAATGCAATGGCCTACCTATCTACGTGGTACCTTGAAGTACGCTGAGCCAATACCAAACAAGTCACTTGTTGGAAATAGGCAAACTTGCGCATCGCATAACCGGCGCCTTACGCCCAGATTGATGCGAATCACTCAGAATTATAAGCATTATAGAACGTAAACCTGTACTCCGATCATTCCCCTGTGTGCACGCACAAAGCGCTTGCTTGTCTAGCGGTGGAGCTGTATAATAATAATAGTATGTCAGATGTACTCCGCGACCACCACCAATCCCGCGCGGGCTGAATATACCGCGAGGACGCCCACTCCTACACATATTGCAACCGGGGACCTTAGGGCTGCAAACCAGGCGCACAGACCACTCAGCCACCGGTTGACAGGTGGTGCTGTATGGTCACTATAAATCAGTTACAGTTGTTTCTGGTTACAGTCGCATTAGGTACCACAATTGAAGAGCAGATATGTGCATTTTTGAATCTCCATAACCGTATGTGGGCGGATTGCGTCGGACCCTCGCTCCATTTTTGTTGCGTTCCCTGAGCTACATCTGTTTCTTACTGCCTGAAGTCAAACTACTGAGTTGTATGCGAGCATTGTCTCCCAAGTAACTCCACTTTCCCACCTCTGTGTATTGGACCATAAATTCATTGAATAGACCCGGCTTTAACACACAGAAGTGAAGCAGGTCTCTCCGCTCCAGCTTGCTATCTGGACTCACTTGTGGCTGGTGTTCCTTTCTTTTTCATCACCAAATGATGTGCCAAAAAAGTAGCCTTGGAATTTGTAGTTTTCCAAGGTTACTTTTGTCTTTGAAAAGTACAGTGAACATCCTTCGAAAGTCACCGGATCACCAGCCTCATCTCCCATCTAAGTTATGCTGCAGCGTTGCGCTAGTTTCCTGAATATATAATCCAAAAAATTTGGGCCATCTTCCGCACCGTCGACGGTTGTATTTATCTGTCCAGGATTTTTATTTGCTAGTACAGTGCCAAAGGTACATTCGGTCTAGTACTGCCTCCCAAAATGAGAATGTCATCTTCATTTTATTTGACTCGCTTGTTTCTGCACTATTGACGAGTTTACTGGAGATCTTCCTTCTTATTCAGCATTTCCTCTTCCGCAACTTCCTATACCTAGTTGAAATCTATTGGAGGTTTTTTTTCTGAGCGTGCCACGTTAAGTTGGTCCACTGGTCCCAACATGCATCCTGGTATCTTCCACTTTGCGTTTTAAACGGCCGTGCTGCCTTCTGTCACGTTTCTATCCAGTATACCTACGGTAGTTAAAGTCGTGCGAAGCCGAAGTTAGAAATCGTGGACTAAAAGCTGCTAGTTAAGTGACATCTGTGAAGGATCACCGACAACCGTGTTTACAGTCATTAACGTGCTTGGTTCCACCGGTTTCTGTTTTATGGAATACTCGAGGAATGTCGCTTTAATATGCTTCTGTTTCCTAGCCCAATTCCGTACTCCCTCGTATTTGTAATCGATCTTCTTTTTGACTTGGATTTCACCTTCTCTGCTGTCTCCACTGAACCTGTTTCGCCAATGGCTTATAACAATTGAATACAATTTTCGTAGAAAGTAGAAGCCACGATTAAACTTTGCACAATAATCTGCCCCGTCGAGGCAGATTATTGTGCAAAGTTTAATCGTGGCTTCTACTTTCTACAAAAATTACCTACTCACAACCACCAATACTCTAAATTTACCATCGCCCTTTGAACACCTGAAGGACAGATACTTCGGTTCATTGGGAAGTGACAAATCAGTGAGCCGATCTGCAACACCAGGGCAGATACTGTGAGCTTATTGGCAATACGTCGCGAACCAAACGTGAGTCATGTTTTAAAATTGTGCACCTGATCGTCAGTCCTCGGTAGCTCAGTTGGTAGAACAATGGACCGGTAATCCGTATGTCCGGGGTTCGTTCCTCGTCGAGGCAGATTATTATGCAAAGTTTACTCGTAGCTTCTACTTTCTACAAAAATTGAATACAAACAATATTTGCCACTGTTTGATGGCTGTCGCTTTCGTTTCCTTCCCGCTCATTCGGCAATTATTTTAGCTCACTCTCTGTTCTCGTCCCACCCCAAGTTTTGGCCTGTGGAACACTATGTCTGTCCTTGATTTGTACTTGTAATCCGCCCGTTTAATTCTTTTCATTTTATCGATTATATTTTTAACGTCGCAGTGCGATGGTTCCGCGGTTGCTACCGCTTTCACTTGCAAAAGTTCGCAAACCAAACAGAAGGAAATGAATACAGATGAAAATGGTCGATTGTTAGCAAGTCAAAGTACAGTTGGGTATTACAGAAGAGCTGTCGGTTAAGTACCAAGCGCCGGTAACTGTTGGACAAACAACGTTTGTTAAAACCTATCAAAGGGTCTTGAATCATCTAATAGTCATTCTTCATCAGTGTTCATGTGTGCTGCTGCTCAGCTAGTTTGCGATTTTCGGTGGACTGATCGCACCTCTTTCATTGTTCGCTTTTTGTATCCTCAACGCATAGCGTGGACGTCGCCCGGGAACTACCGGGGGTTACAATTACGCGTCGTCAGGTCGTGGTGGTTATGGTCAACAATCCGGGATTTATCAGAATCGGAAATTCCGTAATCTGTCGGATCGCGAGCGTATGATGCAGTATCCGAACCGGCGTTGGAACAACCAGTGGAGCAACGCTACTGGTCCTGGAAGTCAACGCCGAGGCGGAATGCAGGGTCCTGGTGCTTGGCGGAATCAGCCTGGTGGTGGATGGGGTTCCTCCTATCAGGACAGACGTCAGCCTCACCGAACTGTTAGGGATGCCTCAGTCCAAATCAAGGATTCGTGGAACTTGGAAGAAGAGCTGGACTTCACTCGATTGTCCAAATTAGCGTTGCCCACAGTGAAGGAACCAGTGGATCTGTGAGTTTCTGTCCGATTTCATGGCCTGCTTTCGAGTGTAGTTTTCCTAATTGACATACCTTATTCCATGCACTGTGTAACTGGACCTTTGTTGTGGGGTTATGTCACACATATGACTGTCCCATTGTCGCCTCGATCAGTGATTCTCAACCTGGGGGTACACCCCCAAAGAGGTGAAATGGAATTTTACGGGGATAAATATAAGTATGAGGGTTGGATTATCAATCGATCGCCAAACAAACTTAATAGCAAAATCATCTATATCAAAACATGTAACTAACTACTTAACCACTATTGATTAGCCATCAGTGTGTAAGCGGTCAGTCGATTGGACTATGTTTGGTAACAAATTTTATTTTACTAATAGCTAGGAGGATTTTTGTAATGTTTTCGTCCCAGTTGCTCACAAGCTACATAGCATAGCCTAGTCCGGTAAATCACAAGACGCGTTTCGCCCTATTGGGGCTCGTCAGTGGTGCGCATTCCCTCGGTCCCCTACTGGGGATCGACCCCATGACCGCAGGAGTAGCTGGGAGGAAAACATTACAATTACAATTAAGAAATCCTCCTACTCAGTAATATAAAATGTTGTCTCCTTGTTTCAAGTGTTATGGACGTAGCGTCTAGTGATAGGAAGTCATAACCTTTGGATGCTAGGCACTGGCATCTGCTAAGGTAGTAACCTACGTGGCAGTGGAAGATAGGTCGTGCTATATCCCAGTTAGCTTGCAAATTATCTAGCCCAGCCGACGTCTCCCATGTCTCAGTGGATTAAGCTGCTGGATAGTTGGCATCTGCCTCTAGTGGTCATGAGTTCGATCCCCAGTAGGGGACCGGAGGAATACGCATCACTGACGAGCCCTAATAGGTCGAAACGCGTCTGATTCTTTTCCGGACTAGGCTGTGCCATGTAGCTTGTGAGCGGCTAGAACGGAAACATTACAATTACAACAGGTTTTATTAGCTGAAATACGAATACATTGCTGCAAGTCAACATAGCTGTATGGCGCCTTTATGAGCTCGCTCGTCAATCGTTGTTCCTTTGGGTCAGACAGTGGTTTGCTGTGTCGGATTACAGAGTTCAGTAGACACTAAGGTGAGAGCCTAAGTTAGCCGACCAGATGAACAAGCGAGCGAATGTTGGCAAGATAGAAGAAACAACACAGGTGATTTGTGTTTAGCATATATCACTATAGAGAGGTGCTGTGAAGCTGTTATCCAGGAAGGAGTTGGAACGAATGTTTGGAACAAATGAGAAGCCATTGAAAGTAAGAAATTAACTGAAATTGGAGCACGACTTACGCTATGTGCATTACTGGTTTCTAGTTGGATGCAGCAAGAAGAGATATCACTGTGTAGCTGCATCTAATATCACTCAGGTAAAAAGACCCGTTTTGTTGGAGTGCGCTCGATTTCTTTTTATATCGGCAAAGTGTTTGTCCAGGAACTACTTAAATCCCGACACCGAATTTGCCTCAACTAAATGCTGCGGCAGGTTGTTCCATATATTCACCACTCCGTTCGAAACAGAGTTGCTGGGCGACCCTCTTCAAATCCGGTACTGCAAGCTTGTACCGGTGTTCTCGTTTGCTGCTTGGTGTGCGCATATGCAGCAGTAGCCTCAGCATGTAGTAATCATCAGGATGTACTATCCAGTGCGTCATGATGAGGTCAACCCGCACTCGACGATAAGCTAGGGTGTAAAGCCCTAGTTTCTTACACCGCTCTTCGTACGGCACACTTCGTAAATTGGGAATCAGCCTGGTGGCTACATGCTGTACTCGCTCAATCTTTTTTTTACCTCTTTCCTGCTGATAGGACAGTACGCGGGAGAGCCATACTCTAGCATTGCTCGTGTTATTGAGACGAAGAGGCGAGTGGCAATCTCCTCGGACCAAGTGCTGAAGCTGCGCCTGAGTGCCCAAAGCTTACGAAGACCGTTTTGACAAACCCCATTCGTGTTGTCCATGGAATTTAGGTCGTAGCGTGAGAGTACACCGCGATATGGCCCGAAAGGCGCGAGATGCAACGGTTGATCTGCCACCGACAGTGCCATCGACAGTGCTCACACTTACCCAATCTCATGAAGTGGGACTTGACCGGGTTGATCAGAAGGTTGACCTCATTAGACCATGTGGAGAGGCGGTCGAGGTCCTGCTGTAACAGCTCACGGTCATTGGGTGTGCGGATTACTCCTTCGCAAACAACGCACAAGGTGATTGGAGTAGTTGAGGTACATCGTTTACATGGGTCAGGAACAAATTGGACCCCCGTACAGTGCCTTTGGTCACGCCACTGCTTGATGGATGCCAGTCGGTCAAATGATTGTCGACTTGGACCCTCTACTTTCGATCAACAAGGAACTTTTTGATCCACCGGTGCAACAAGCCGCCAAACACCGCACATCCTCAGCCGGTCAAGAAGCACTGCATGATTCACCTTGTCAAAAGCTTAACTGAAGTCAATGTAAATGACATCGACCGACTTGCCTTGGTTCAGCGCTTGTAACCATTCGTGCCTCGTCAACCATAGGTTGGTGGTGCACGAGCGACCTTTCACGAAACCATGCTGTGCAGGCGTCAAGAGGCTTTTCGACTCCAGAAGCTGCAGAAGACCCTTATTCACGGTCTTCTCAAGTGTCTGCCAAAACAGCGGTCAGGCAGTTTGGCCGTTAGTTATCCACTTTGCTTGGGTCACCACCTTTCGGTATTGGCCTTACGATTGAGCATTCCCAATCGCTCGATAATAAACCAGTGGATAGTGTAATAGTCGGAACCGCACCAAATATACCATAAATTGTTGAAACTAAGCAATAGCATTCGTCTCATTGGCGTACATCACGTCTTGATTTAATAAAATATTGCTCAAAAGTAGATGTGAATGATAAAAATTAAATAAACCAGTATTTATTTTCAGCAATTAAAAGCAAAGTATGCATTAGTTAATAGGTAAGTAGCTTTTTAAACTGTAATTTTTTATGAGCAATTGTTTTTAATGAACCCATTTTGTTAGTAAAAACCACAAAATGCTTGAGAACCATTGGTCTAGATTTTATACGTGCGTCATTATGCGGGCCGGTGGCCGAAGGAATGAAGTGCCTGTTTTGAAACCCGGACGTCACCGGTTCGAGTTTGCTTTAGCCACCAGTCGGTATCCTTCGCCCACATCCGGCTGGCGGTGGTTGCATGGTACAGAAGCGTTGGTACGACGTACTGCTAATCTTTCCCTTTTTGTGCATCGGGTGAAGCACGCTGAGTTGGCGGCCTAGTAGACTTTACACTTAATCCGGTTAGTTACCGTTTCGAGTGACCTACATTCTCCGGAGTGGTGTTCTTTGTTCACCAAATTTGCACCAACCCAACGATAGGAATTACCTGAGAGGCCTCAGCAATACACTTGCACACCGTACCGATGCTACCTAACTACCACCGACCGCAAGTGGATTGGGTACACTGTGATGGCCGGCTCATAGTCATGTAATCTGACGGCGCAGGTTCAAGACTGCGTAGGGACAGGGTGACCCTCACAGTATCCTTAGCCCACATGCGACCGGTGTTGGTTGCGCGGCAGCGAAGCGTTCGCGCAGCGTGCCGGCCTACTGCTGATGCCTTTTTTATACTGCGATGTCGCCTGTATTTACGCGAATTCGAATCGGTGACCATCCTACTACAGGGCGGGCGTCTAATCCTTTCGATAACCGGCCGACTATCTGAGCCACTTTTAGTTACTTGGCTTGGGAAACTAAACTACTGTTAACTGTCTGTGCCGTAGTGAATCTTGTACTTTGTCTGTGAGCTTTAGTTAATCTTCGATCTCCTTGAGCCGATCGGGAAGTCATCGTTTCCGAAGACTTAGTGAACGACCGGTTAATGTATTTGTTAGACTTGCGACGTTTCGCTTTTTACACATATGCTTCTTATCCAACTTAGTTATCAGGCCAGCATGCCACCACAAAGTCGACCACATCACGATGGTTAGAATGTTTATCTAGTGGGAAAACATATAACATCCGAGATTGGATACAGACCATCGTATCGTGTACAAGGATACCCAGCAGTCGAGGAGGGTATTACAATTCTTGATGTTCCTCAGTACTCTTGTTGACCATTTTGTCGAAATGGACCTAAAAATACCTCGCTTCATGGGCTCAGCTATTCCCATTGCGACAACCGAATACACCATCGAGATCAAGTACTGAGTGAAGCGTTTTTTTTCCTTCAAATTAGCACATTTTTCCGGGCCGAATTACCGTTGGTGTGTTGGTGTCGTCTTCAGCTCCTGCAGATTGTATGTTGATCAACCGCGCAACACGATGTACGTTGTGTATTTCAGGTGTTGTAACACCTCGATCAGCAGCTGTGGTCACATAAAAGACCTTTTATTCCTTGTCTGAAACGCGTTGCAACAATTCTCTGTTTATGTGCGATGCGATAGGTTTTTTATTTCTTTCGTCGCGACGAGACCGTGTCTTCACATGGTTTAACATGCCGCCACCTTCCACCGGGCTCCATTGGTTGGCCCATTTTGTGTGCTTTCAGAGCCAATGATTAGGAGTATGCACAACTCAGTATCGGCATCATCTCCTTTGAAGTTTCGGTTGTGGTCGATGGCGTTCTCCCTCCGGAACTTAGTCCCAATAGGCAACCGACTTTGATCATGCACTCGGACGTACTCGCATAACGCACGCTCTTCCTACCTCGTTGAAATATTCAACTTCGAACACGCTTTATCCTCAACTGTATTTGCAATCAGTATTATCAGCTGGCTGGCTGAACAACCTCCACGTAGTGGTGCCAGCTGGGTGGTTCGGGTTTATCCCGTCCCAGCACTTGGTTCGCCTTCAGTGTTCCCGGATATGATGTGTTCTCGCCTGACTTTCGCTCTCCAAAATATGCCACTAACGCCTGTTTAACAACATCGCGACTCGGCGGTTGTGACTCGCCACAAACTAAAATCAATGCTCCTTGCTCTATACTCGAACACTACACGCCTCGTCAGGG